GTCCCTGAGCGGCATCACTGAGCACAATGGAAGCCGCAGAGAGCAGGAAGGCGCAAGAAACCCACCTGAGCAAGGCTCACAAGGTGATCAAATGGAGAGAAGAACAGTGTAACTGGGATGGACACGTATGAACAATCATGAACAACAACACTGTGATCCTAAGGAGAGATCCCTTCAACAAACATGTTCTCGAAGCATCTGATGCTGCGAGCATGGTCTTGAAAATCATGTGATCTAAACACATCACACCACCACAAAGTGTCAAAGAGTTCTTCAGATTCATGGGCGATTCTTTCAAACTGCTGTGAAGCTACTTTGTGAAAGCAGCTTTGACTCATGTTCAGATCACTGGCTCAGAAGGGGCCACTCCGTTGCCACGGGGGTTTGCCCCAATAGAAGGCTGGAGTATGCATGTATCATTCATAGTGCTGGCCAACCTCAACCACCTGTGGCACAAGTGCTGGAACTGGACTGAACCCTTCCGTATTCCGCTACTTCAAGTGTAGCAACAGTGCAAATCTCGTTGGTGACAGCGTCATTCAACACTTAGCAGTTAGCTGGCTCTACTAACTGAGGCAAGCTCTGGTTGGAGCTTGTTGCAGCCACGAACCGTTCCTAGGCAAGCAGGAGCAGCTGGGGCAAATCTTTCGCAACCCTTTCTCGGTTCAATTCTCGGTTCAAGATGACAACGGGTGAAAAAACATGTGAAAACGAATGTCGAAAAATATGGCTGAAACATACGAGGGACAAACAACGAAGACACTGACTTGCCTTTGCCTCCAAACTCGCAACCGCCTACTCTCCCGCCCCACATGTGCGTCACTCCGTGTCACTCCATGAGCTGCCAGGGAACGAGGGTTCTAATATTCTGGTCGCATTTCTGATAGCAGGATTGTGTTTGCAGGGGGCTCGAGTTTGCAGTCGCTCATCGGAGGGCATGTCTGTTTTGTTGCGTTAAAGATGCCATGTGTTGTTCAAGTTTCGTGTTTCTCCTCTCCGTTCCTCTTCTCCCTGTCGGCCTTCTTGCTCTCTACTATCTTCCATCTTTTCTGACGTGTGATGTGGCGAAGGCAACATGTGTCCTCTTAAAAGCCGCAAGCGGATATCCGAACAGACTTGGCGGTGTCCATGTTCATCTTCCTCGCGTAGCTCCGCTATCCCAAAGGAATAGACGAACCAGTGCCTTGTTGGCTCCCAACATGAGATCGACGGCCCTCCAAAAAGACAGTTCCTCCCAAGCAACAAAGGAAATTGCAGTGTTGACTGCACGCCTGCTAAAAGAATGTTGGCATTGACGGGGTTTGGGGAAATCTTGAAGGAGTGACAAACGTCCTGCGATGGCACCTCAAGGTGTTTGCTGCATTCAAGCTATCAAAACGTCGTTGTTTTTGTCCATTCCAAGTGTTTTGAAACTCTTAGGGTGTCCAAACTGCATCCAAAGCAGCGTTTGTGGTGTGTTGGTGTTTTGCATTTGGTACGTGCTTTTTCAGGCGTGAGATGGCGTGAGAGTTTTGGGTTTGGTTCGGCGCTCGACGCTATGGCTGGAAAAACAGGCAGTGAAAACCTCCGGTCTGGGACTTGCCATCCTGCTTCTGATATCAAGACGCTTCAAAGCTCCAAAGTGCATCTGATGTAAGGACCTGGCAGCCAACACATGCCAAACTTGCCCCGGATTGACCAAGCTCAAACACGAATGCGACAAAAAAATAGAAAAGTGCACGTCTAAAAATCAATGCCACAAGAAAAGTAGGCACGGAAGACACGTGAACTGGTTGCAGCAAATGTGCATGTGTTTTGCATTTGGCATGTTTAATTGTTTTTTGGGCATTGCTTGTCCATGTTTTGAGGTACAGTAAATGTTTTGGAGGTGCATTCTTTTTGCAATCCCTGGTGCATGTGTTTGTTTGCATTGTTTGTGTTGGTTTTCACATTCCTACTTGGGCGAAATGTACGGCAATGTGGCAATGTGTCTCTTTTGTGTCAATTTGCGGGTTCATGTTGGACACCATGGGAGCAGTCATTACATTCACTGGATGGATAGCTTTCCATGCCGCTTCTCCAGCAGTATTCCAAAGGACTGCAGCGCGTGGAGAAAGAATGAGAAAGAAAGGTAGTCAAGTTGACGAGGCTGTTGACAATGCGAAAAAAGACATGTCAAAAATGAAATCCACAAAAATGCAGTTCGAGAATTCACTTGGGGGTAGGAAAACATGCACTTTGGAACCAAACAAGTTGGCGTTGTTTACATGGTTTATCATGTTTGGTGTCGATGTTCCGCAATTGGCGTAGCGGCGCAGAACGAACTTGGAAGCCAACCTCTGCGATCGGGTACTTCGTCGCGGGCAATGTATCGAAAAGAACAAAAGCCCCGCCGGACCGTCCACACCTGCCTCCCACCCCATAACTAACAATGGACTCAAATGAATCATCATCACCAAATTGCATCTACAACTCCGCTAGCCTGCCGGCTTTCGTGACGAAACTAACAAATGAACATAAATGACACTGGCAAATGCCACTCAGAAAGTTTTTGGGGAAGGCGGTCTTGAAGAACAACGGATGCTTTGATCAATGCTTTGCTGATGGTTTCCCGATGCTTTCCCCACTCCAACAGGGTGCCCCGGCCCAGCCCGGCGGTGCTGCTCTCGCTTCTCGGCTGTCGAAAGTCGCCACCATCATGACCTTGAGCTTAGCCATGCTGGCCGGCTTTGCTCCTTTGAAAATGGTTTGAGATGGTTTGAGTACAGTTACTGTTCCCTCCCTCCCTCCCTCCCTCCCACCTCCCTCGCTCCCAAACTCTGTCTCGATTTATTTTCACAACCTTGATGAGATCTTGTGGAAGTCTCTTACCTTCCCGCTGGCTACTGACCCTCGAACAGCAATTCTGAGGGAAAAGGAGAAGGAAAACCACACCAAAGGACCCTTGCACGCGACTACACCACACCTTGGGACTTCAGCTACTTGGCGGGTCCACCGATTGCGCAAGAGTTCTCAGCATCGCTGTTCGCATTGTAACCCACCATCTTCCGGGATCTGCTGCATTTGCCGAAACTCTTTTGCACTTGTCACTTTGCCCGAGCTTGGAACTGCATGATGGTGAGGCTTCGATCTGGATACAGTAAAGTTTACCGTATTTTAAAGCTCTCATTTCACCGACTTCCTGCTCATCTCCGATGACAAAAACAACAAACCTAGATAGCGGAGAAAAAAAAACATGGCAGCAAAACTAAATTGTAATCTTCCGGCGGCTCTTGCGTTCTAGAGTCTGGCACTAAATAGGTTTACCGCTACCTCTAGTGTCACGATCGGCTTGATGGCAGTCACTGCTCAAAATTCAAAACACCTGCCACCTTTCAGTTGCGCTTCCCGGCCCCAGCAAGCACCAACAGCGCAAAGCCACCTGAGCGGATGGCAATGCTAGTTGCTCTCTCAGCGGTTTTCTTCTCTACTCATCCTTGCACGCCCTTCCTGTGAAGAGCTCCATCAAGTACTTGGTGCCTTTTGTTGCGGCAGCACTTGCAGCACCACAAGGATAGAAAACGTCCAAGAAAGAATTGGCCATCAGCAGCTTAAAGCTAGAAACGGCGGACTTGAAAAATCATTGTTTTCAGAGGTCATCTGGGCAAAAGTGTGATCAAAAAGCGTGGGGCTGGTCTCCCAGCCAGCTGCCACAGAGTAAGCCTTGCTTCAGTTTGAGGAGTCACGTATCAACTAACATCCCTCATCAGTCTGCCTCTGCCTTCCCCCACCAATCGGGGCCAGAAGGCCATGAGGAACACTTTGCCATAAAGCATCAAAAGACTGAAATAGGTTTGGTGGCACCCAGCCATGTCAGGACCCACAAATCACATCAAATCACCGCCATCCTTCTTAAAGACAAGCCGCACAGAAGCACATAGCCGGACCTGGCTATGGCTAGTGGAGATCACATCTCATACCACTTTCACACATTTGGTGCCCTTTGCATGTACAGGTAGTAGTAGAAATCAAGCGTCATTAGCCCCGCACCTTCCAGAATGAAGGAAGTTGAAGAAGCCAGAGACCACCGAATCACGTGCTGCAGCCGCCTCAGAATCGGGAAGTCTTACGTCCAAAGGAAAATGTTGGAACTTGAAAATGCAGTGTAAAACTCCCGGCCTATTCCAACATCTTACATAATTTGTTATTGGAACGGTTTGGGTTGCACGCCGGCGCGCCTGTGCATGCAAACAACTTGTGTATAAAAAGAGAGAGGAACGCTGTGAGGGCCCGTGTTTTTCAGTGTTTGTGTGTGTGTTTTTCTATTTTTGGGCTTGTTACACAAAGGATATGAAGCTTCAAAAACACAAGAATTGATGCTAAGAGTAGTGAAGCAGCTGGTGTTGCATCACATGTTCCAAGCTACAGACACCTGATGATAAGAGCAGGGGAAGCTGTCTGCATCACAGGTGCCAGCCACAGAAGTTATGGATGATAACAGTAGTGAAATAGTTGTTGTTGCATCACATGTTCCAAGAAGATAGCAACCTGTGTCAAGGGATGAAAGTGGAAGTTGGAGTTGAGGGACATGTAGATGCAGCTGTGCATGTTTGACACTTAATCAAAGAAGGACCTGCTGGGCCCATTTGCGATGACTGTGATTGATGCGAAGTTGCGAAAGGCCAAGGCTACTTGAAGCCTCATATTTTCTACGTTGCAGATGTGGCCTGACTGACGCTAATATGTTGTGGTTTCACAGTGGTGAAGATGTTCTACGGGAAGCCTACAATTTCACATGACCGTCAGTGAACGGCACAAGTTCGAAAACAAATCAGCTCAAAGCAAGACGCTCAGGCAATATTTTTCCTTCCCCCAAGTGAACTGGCTGCACAGAGCTCCTTCAAGATAACCGTACATCCCTTGTGACTACCTCCCATCTGTACTGTAGTCATGTACTGCATTTGCATGGCTCTCTAGCTGACACTCACAGGAAAACAAAGAGCTCTCTATAGATGTCATACTCACAAATCAGAATCTCCAGGCTACTTCTTAGCAGCTGGTTTCTTCTTTACGTGAGTCTTGGCCACTGCTTTGCAATTGTAGCTGTGGCTGGCAGGTTTCTTCCAAGCGGCCGCCTTCTTCATGGCCTGCTTATGCGCAGGCCAAGGATTTTGGTGCTCGATGCCCCCGTCCGCTTCCATGGCATTGCGTCGCCGAGCATAGGCGAGGACGTAAAACAGCTGCACATTGGGATTCATGGAACTGAATGTACTGGAGTACCCCCTGAACCATGAGATCGAAGTGTTAACTTCCTTCAATCTCCGCTCAAGCCGCTTATGATTGAGCAGTGAACACTTGCAGTCGGGACCGTGTCCACGTGCGTGGAACTTGTCGATGGTCCAGTAGTTCTTGTAGAGGGGCAAAAGCTCCGAGACTAACTTCAAGACAACCCCAAAATGCACCCAGTCGCTGGATCTGTCGCCATAAACCAACCATCATTCGACATCTTCACGGCCCCATCTAAGCGAGGACGGCTGTAGCAATGGCCCCATCTGAGCGAGGACGGCCGCCATGTTTAGGAGGGTTATCGGCACAGGCTGTAGCAATCTTTTCGTGACCGTCCATGGCAAATTCACGGACGCTGGAGGCCAGAGACTTGGGAGTTGCAATTCGCTGCCACCAAACATGGTTTTCACACAGGTGCGCAAGCTGCAAGGGGTTGTCGATCTCAATGCTTCGCAGGAGACGTTCTTTGTCCTTCCGGGAATGAAGCTTCCACATGTCCTTAAACTCCGCGATGACATGGAAGAGCAAGCCTCAGAATCAAGCAGGCAACATGAAAAAATGTATATAACTCAAAGGTGCCTGGCAACAGAAACCAAAAAAAACATACCAACCAATTCAGGAGACGTGCTTGGCCATAATCTTGGTTGAAGCGCTGATGTGAGTGATCATCAGGCCAAAGGCTAGTCAGCTGCGCCCATGCAATGGCTTTAGAACTGACGTACCCACGGAACTGCAACGCATCGTGGTAGCGCAGAAAAGAAGCGCAGAAGCCGGTGGTTGCAGAAACAAAGATGTAGTCAAACTCCTCCACTGCCAATGAGTTCGCCTTCTTGCCCTCGCACCAAAGGTAGTTCTTCCGCATGCTCCTCGGGCATTGTGGCTTCCTGACACTCATCCATCATCCTGCCCAGTTCTCGTTCGAGGCTTTGAGAGCGGGAAGCCATGTGGGCCACCGAGAGCAACAAATGAGGGGAGTACAAAAACAAGTTGCTTTGACGGAGACGGCAGCAAATGCACATGGCCCCTTATCCAAAGAATGCGCTAAAAAGTCTTCACAATGCAACAAGACAATTCTCTGAGCATTGACAACAATATGCAACGCAAAGAAGAAATGCTGATTGTCACAGAAAAGCTGTCGTTGAATATGTTGCTTTTCTTACCTGCCTTGAACCCAGACAAAGCATAAGTTCATGCGGAAGATACACAGGACAGTGAATTAACTGTTTACATGGTTTTTGTCATGGTTGGAGATGAGGCGATAAGGCGTTGGGGTCAAAAGTGCTTTTTTGTAGAGAGTTTTCTTTGCTTTATTGAAGATATAATTGCCTTGGACTTGGATGAAGCAGAAGTTCATGAAGATTGTGTGCGTTTTTTACTATATTTGGGCCTGTTCTACAATGGATATGAAGTCTTTAGTGAAACAGCTGGTGTTGCATCACATGTTCCAAGCTACAGACACAAGGGTCTAGAGGTTCCTAGTTTGGAGGGGGGGTGGTCGAGCCAAAAAAATTTTGGCTCCCCCCCCAGAGATCCCTCTCTTCCACCTTCAGATTAAGAGGTCCTTGTTCCTTGCCTACATTGTGACATTGTGTGGCGCATAAGCTTTTGTTATTGTTTCACAAATGCTTTCTTTGTTGAATAGCTAACAAAAATAAATATAGGAAAAGTAAAAACATATATGTCTATATGCTGCCCTGCACTTAACAAAGTCAAAAAAATCACTTCCCTTATTTTTGACATGTTTAAATCTCCCTATGAGTTGGGGAGAAGGCTGGGATGTCTGGATTGAACTCCCCAAACATAGGGCACCCCGTGAAAGTCACAGCTTTCTCTCTTTAGGACCCGTTGTGATTCGGTAGGGCATGGAACAAGCATGTGCTCTTTAGTACCATCCGTACAAACTTACAGCAGCAGTGCTGTTATTGAATCTCTGTCTACAGTCTACACATTCAAGCAAGGATATGATTCTCTAGAACATGTGGAAAGTCAAGTCTCTGACCACTGTTTGGACTTTCGGCGGATGATATGTTCTTTTCTTGCTGGTCACCCTGATTGAAACTATTTATTTTCAAAATGCAGCTGCGCTTAAGGAAATCAGTGCAGTAAGGGGAGGGCATGCCATACCCCCCCCTTAGGGAGGTCGGTAGCGCTACCGACCTCAGTAAGCCCATGGCTCTCAATCAATGGGGCATGGTTTTTGCATTGATTTAAGCATCCCTGAATTATTTTCACCTGCACTTAAGGGAATCACATGGAGGCTTACTGCAGTCGGTAGCGCTACCGACTGCACTAAGGGGAGGGCATGCCAAGCCCTGTCACTACTGAGGTGATTTCCTTAAGTGCAGGTATGAAACTTTTTGAATAGGTGAATTATTTTCAATTCTAAGTTCGGATTGGGGGAGATGGTCCACTATCAAAGGAGAGAGTAGGAGAGAGTAGGAGAGAGAGGGGCGTGAAGCCTGGCTGCCTGACCGATTGTTCATTTAACAACCAGAAGTGAGCTTTACGGCTACAGGACCGTTTGGCTGCGTGACAGATCTCCGGTTTGGCTGCATGAGGGTCTCCTTTGCCCTTGTCCCATGGGCAGGTTAACCCACCTGTTCTATTCGGGCTTTAATGTTATTGATTGATTTTATTGGATTCATCATTGAGTACTTCCGAGCTGCGGTCCCAGCAGCAATTATGTTTAAATGCAGGAATGAAATTTTGACATCGTTAAGTGCGCCCCAGTATATATATATAAGTGATTTTATTGAAAACAATGGCCTTTTAGAAACACTGGAAAACGAAGGCCCCCACAGCACGCTTTTCTGTATAAAGAAGTGCGCACACACACACATATATATATATATACCCGCGCTGAAGGTGCTGAGGTGCGATAGTCTTGGCTACGGGGGTGCATTTTCGTTTGGGAACGAAAATGCGTATCCGGTATCACAAGGTGTGTCTGGTAGTCTGGAAGAGGGGTGGGAATGGAAAAAAACATTGAAAAACAATGAAAAACATATGATCAGCGGACAAAATTACTTGTGTAGCCAAATTACTTGGTGGGGTCCATATCGTTCTCCAATGTTCTCCAAACCGTATTTAGCATAGCATAGCGGCACATAGACTAAATCACAAAATATCATTCACAACCTCAGATTAGAGGCTTACAGTGCTTTCTGCACAGGAATGGCACAGCACTTTATTTATGCACTTGGGTTCGTGTGGCACTGGGCTGCGCAAGGATCACAACACATAAGCGGGGACCTAGTAGCTCGACCCATGAACAACCACTAGTAATGTGGAGAAGTAGGTCTACGGAGTGCCTGGCGTGACATTTAGGTTATCGTTCGCTTATTGTTTGGATTATCGTTTGGGAAGTTGTCCGGGATTCTCGTTGAGGATTCTCGTTGATGAACAGTTGCGCCCATCGGCTTTTGCTCAAATAAACATGCAAATGCAATAACATATTGTAACCACAAACGTCTTTGTACCTGCTACATCTTAACAAAATTATCGTTTTTGGTGGGGACCATATCGTTTTCCACAGAAACAAAGCCCTCAACATAGGTTTAGGGTCATGCCGTGACTAAATAGGTCAAGCAATATTTTTTCCGTCGCTCATATAGTCTTCACATATCATTATCATACATGCCAGACGATTTCTCTCATTACCGTGCCATTTGCATCACCAGATCCATGAAAGGCAAACAAAGGACTCCTCTCAACAGACCATGTCTTAGTATATCTTTCATGATTGCATCATTTGCATCAGCTGGTTGCTATTTGATTGTCTCTCTCATTATTGCACCACTTGCATCACCAGGCCCATGAAAGGCAAACAAACGACTCGTCTCAACAGCTTACTTCTTAGCACATATATCTCTAATCATTTCATAGTGTGCATCAGCTGGTTGCAAGTGTATAGTGTATTGCGCGTGATCACTTAAATTTTAGACGCACTGGAAATAAGAAGCTTTTCCGGGGACCGACTTGTGTCCAACAGTGCCTGCAAAAAAAATATATATATACATAAAAACATACAGACAGTTGTGCATATTTTGGACCCCCTGAAAAATTTATAGGGCTCGAAACATAGAGTGTTTACGCACAGAAAGCAATACAATGTGCATGGTCGAGGCAAGACTTAGAGATAAACGCAGCGTGGAGCGGATGAAAAATGTTGTCCCGGCAAGAGACCCCAAACAGTGTGTGTGAGGTCTATAAGCGGAAAGTCTAGGGATCTAGACACATTGCGGTGCAGAGAGGTGATGGTGGTGATGAAGGTGGGGATCGTGGTGAGTGAGTGAGTGAGTGAGTGGGTGAGTGAGTGACTGAGTGAGTGAGTGACTGAGCGAGTGAGTGAGTGAGTGTGAGTGTGAGTGTGAAAGTGAGAGTGAGAGTGGGTGAGTGAGAGTGAGAGTGAGAGCGCACATCGAGGTTCACAAAATCCTACGCTTGCCACGAAATTTGCGCTTCGAGGTTCACCAAGTGCTGCGCCTGCCACGAAATCTGCACTTCGAGGTTCACCAAGTGCTGTGCCTGCCACGAAATCTGCACTTCGAGGTTCACCAAGTGCTCTACCTGCCGCGAAATCTGCACTTTGAGGTTCACCAAGTGCTGCGCCTGCCACGAAATCTGCACTTCGAAGTTCACAAAGTGCTGCGCCTGCCACGAAATCTGCGCGTCGAGGGTCACAGAGTGCTGTATCTGCCACGAAATCTGCAATCGAGCCACATGTCCAAAAGTCACGATTCACTGCACCTGTCGCGAAATCTGAGCTCCTCGACTCCTCGACGATCACCACCATGTCCAAAGCGCTGCACCTGCCACGACAACTGCATTTCGAAGTAAATGACCTCCGATCCCTTGCACCTGTCACGAAAATTCGGCTTTGGAGCACCAAAACACGAGGTTTCCCTTGCGCCTGCCACGAAAAGTGACCACCATGTGCAAAAAATGCGCGCGGCACGACAACAAGAGCGCAGTCGCTAGAAGCACCCGCCGTGGGCCCACAGATTCTGCGAGCCTGCGCAGTCGAAATGTACATTGATGATGTCGAGAGGCGTGAATGCACTGTAAATAGCAATGAATTAGCCGTTCACGCCCAAGCGGAACAGCGATCTAAGCACACCTGCTTTTCTATTACCGTAGGAACCCCGAGTGTGACCACAGGTCTTGTAATCACTCTGCTTTTGGACCCTCTTACAAGTTGCCTTGGACCCGGTGAAAAATATACAACTCAAGCGGGTTGCAAAATAGTGATTGTAAGAAACCCCATGCAAGAGCCAATGGTGCGAGCGGTTGTTCTCGCGAAGCGGCCCGAATGTGTAAACATAATTATATATGTGTATATGATGTATATACAGTAACATACGTACCTGTACACATAGTATAGGTTTGCCGCAAAAAGAGAGGCCATGCTTTTCAGTCTGAGGGCACATGCACGCAGAATTACACTTTCTTTCTCTCTCTCTCTCTCTCTAACCATGTAGGGGTGAGTCAATCCGAACTCATGATCACAAGAAACGATTGAGATCAAAGCATGCTGAACTATGCGGATTCCCATTGCTTCTGCACGAGCCGCACTCCATCCCCATGCTGAAGCCAACAGCACAAAAGCGATATGACATACACCAAAATCAATATAGCTTTGCACATGGCAATGCTGGACTAGCAAGCTTCAATTATGCCAACAAGAATGCCAAAGTTACGATCTCAGTGGTGGATGGATGGGTTGGAAGCCAATTGCTCACAAAGCATGCTGCGCGAGGCTTTTTGGCATGTTACGCCTTAGCATGCTGGTTGCCGCAGCTCTCCGACTTGAGCATATTGGTCATCACCAAAGAGCTCCACCCGATGTTGGCTGCGCTGCGCCAGCATGTTGACAACATGTACAGGCTTGCCACAACAGGGCATTGCTATTGTCTGCCAGGCGCTTTGAAAAGCCAATCCTCAATGAGCACCTCAAGCCAACAATTCAATTTGTGTTGAGGCTGTCTTCTGGAGACGAGGGATGCGGCTGTCTTCTACTGCCGATGTTGAATCCAAGAAAGAAAAAACGCCTGTCAGAACAAGTGAAGTATGACCCTTTTGTGTTTCACCCTCGCTTGACCCTCAGATCTTCAATTATGAACTGAGACATGCAAAATCCAAGAAAACATAAGAAAACAAATTGGCATGGGCGATGGACCTGAGGTTTTACCATGTTTTACCCAAGGTGCATAATCGAGATCTGAAAGCTCTCGCAACATATCCAAGGACTCCTTCACCGTGTTAGCAATCGGACGTCCTTTGGAGTTGAAACCTCAACTGCCAGAAAACTCGTGGGGGCGAGCATGGACCTCACGCACCCAGGTTTGATTGTATTGAAGATGTTTGAAGCGATGCCCTTGATACTAATGTTGCATCCTATTTAGTATTGAAATAGTGGGACGGAATAAGAAAAAAAGTGTTCGCCAAATTATTCACACACCCTGATTAGTTTAATGGGACGGCATAGCAAAGAGTTTTTTCACCCAGGGTATTTTTTTGTCTTTGTTTGCTGTTCTATTGTTCTGCTATTGCTCCTCCCTTAAGATCCTTACTTAACTCTTCTCAGGTTTGCTTGATTCATGGAATTCTGACCTGGAAATCGTTTTCAAAAACGCTTAGTAAAACTCAACGATGTCATTGCTCCAAACAATTTTCAAGGGGGTAGTACACCAGCCCAGGGGAAGTGAATAATATCTAATTGTTTAGGGGATGGGATTAACAAGCAAACTCGGAGCCCTACTGGAAAAAGATCTAACTCTATTATTGTTCTGCAATTGATGCCCTTGCAAATCCTTACTTATATATCTCTTCTATGACGACGACGACGACGACGACGACGACCACTACTACTACTACTACTACTACCACTACCACTACCACTACCACTACCACTACCACTACCACTACCACTACCACCTCTTCAGACCCCCTGGATTGTTTGCTGGGGGGGGGGTTTGCTAATTAAGATCCAACATTGGTAGCGATGCCCTTGTGACTAGTAGCGATGCACTGTTGAAGGATTCCCTAAAATGAGACCAACACCAAATGTAGCATCATTGCTCGGTGAATAGCTGCCCTGCTTGTCCCGATTGCTGAGGCTGGCATTGTCCACAGCGATGCTGGAAGGATCCCAAAGGCCCCGAATGGGCCCGAATATGCCCAAAGGCAAACCAACCAAACGCCCAAACGCTCTTTGCCTTTCTGGCTGCCTCCCTACCCCATGTCAATGTGTCAGTCCAAGGTGCTAGTGTTGATCAAGGCTGCCAAGCCTGTGTGTTTTCCCACTGCCAGCAGCAGCGCATGTACCCAGGGCTCATCTTTTGCACCTGACATCATTTCAGGTCGCAAAAGCCCCGCCACCTTACTTAAGGCCTGTCTTTGTTTCAGTTTAACTCAGTCTTTTCTGCAGCTTTGCCATGTATGCTGGGGTGGGCTTCAATAGTCAGCCCCATGGAGTCGACTTGTTCTTCACAGTTCCCCATCGCCCGGTGACAAACTAGAGATCATCAGGATTTTGTCGCTTGATAAGTTATCGCGTAGTTGTGGTTTTCGTGGTCTGTTTTCATTGGTTCAACATGAAGCAGCTGGCAATGCGTCTCTCCACAGTGAATGAAACATTCTGGACAGAAATGGCATGCGAAGACATGCAAAGGCTGTTGCAATCATTTGTGCATGTGCGATCATATAAACCAGGCTTGGATCTCTAATCCTGTTGCCGCTTCTTCTGAAACCAAAAAAAAGACCAAGAAGTAGTTGGAACTTAAGGCCGTCAGCCTCCTGAGCATGTGAAGACCTGCAGTGTGATGACTGGATGCATAGTTATCCATTCTCCAACTAGAATTATAAGTACTATATAATTGATTTGTAACTGAGTAGTGCATGATTCTGCATCGGTGCATGAGTGATTTTATTCGATCCTTTTTTTGGGGACTGACATGCAGGTGAGGATGTGAAAAGGCTCCGGACTCGCGGAAAATACTTCTAGGCCGAGCGACCTACTGACTGATGGCGAGCTGTGCCATCCAAATGTGCCAATGCAGGAAATTCTTTGAGCACCTCCTCCAGAACTCGAGGGGCCATGGACATGTACCTAGCACATGCTGATGTGGCGAGAGGCACAGAAGGGGGTGTGAAAAGACACATAACCAAAATGATCGAATCAATCAATCATCACAATGGGCACCTACTCCTGCGCGAGGAACAAAGGCAGCGACCTCCTATTGAGCTACTGAGGCTGTTGAACCTCCCCCGATGCTAGCTGCTATACTATACCCACATGGTTGAATGATCCAAGATATATTAGGAAAAAATGTGTCCATCTCAATCCTTACCCACAAAGTCACGGGTGAAAATATTTTTGCGGAGAAGTTTCCACCCCAGACTCAGGTGGAATTGGATCGGAAGTGGTGCGGTGACTTCACGCGCTTGTTAAGTTTAAAACATGCGTGGTCGATCTTCGCCATGCTGCGGTGACTTCACCTCTCGGCCGAAGACCTGTCTCAAGGCTTCGTCAGCAATCATGGGCGCAACCGGCCGGAACCACCTCAGAAGTTCTGCTCTTCGATCCCTTTAAAAGGCACAGCAAGGGGGCATTTGGTGATACAACGAATGACAGAATGAGGCAGCCATGGCAGATGTCAAACAATTCTGGATACCATCCAGCACTCTTGGCGCGGTCGAAGTAATCAAGTCGAGTCTGCCGACAAGCTTTGTTCACCCAAACTTGGACACGATCAAATCCTCTTGAAGCCTGAAGGCAGTTGATTGCAACCAAGGTGCTGCCTGCCTTTCAAACGGTTCATGCCTGGCAGTGGGATATGAAACTTCAAAATCTTCAAAGCTGAGGGAACTGTAATTGCCCTGGAGGGTGCAAAGAACGGTGCCTCTCAAGAGTGCAAATGGCAAATCGGCAGCCATCTATGAAAGATACGGGTGTTCCATGGTGTTCCTGTTCAACGGCAGGCTGAGAGTCAAACGCTGAGAGTCAAACAGCCCACCGACCGCCCAATGGATCAAGTCACGATCCCTCATCAGCGCGGAATCTGGGACTGCCAGCAAAGATCGATGGCCCAGGGCACGGGGACCAAACCTCACAAGATCAGCAATGCTGCTGAGCGAACTCATGAAATCGATAAAAAGTTGTAGGTCTGGGAACAACTAGATACTACAGTAGCTGGGTATCTAGTAAATGTGTCCTGACAAACTGAGACCAGCCTTGAGCCTTAACTTGTGGTGTTTGAAGCTGCTTGAACAATGAACAATATGATATATATATATATATTAAAAATGCGAACGGATGGAAAGGTGTGCCCTGGCCCCGTTCTAGCTCTTAGGTCAACATGAAGCTCGCGCGCTAAAGCTCCTTTTTACCTGGTTGGGCACTTGAGCCAAAAGTATATGGCACGTACCTGTATAGCGACTATACTGGGACCCCATCCCTATTGACAAAAAATATATATATATATATATAGATATATAGATTTATATATCCTTCAAGGCGCTCCTGCCGCCCACGAACCACGGCCACAATGGGCTTCTCACCAGGTGGACCAGTGCCTTTGTGAGGACGCAGCGCCATCGTTCCGAAGTTTGGCAAGAGCTAGAAGTTCACATTAGGTTCTGTCAAGCCATTGAAGTGAAGAAAGTCTAGAAAGAGAGAAAGAGAGAGAAAGAGAGAGAGAGGAAGAGGGAGAACGAAAATCAGAAAGAGAAAGAAAGATAGAGAGAGAAGGGCAGCTCCACAAAAGAAAAGTACCACAGGCCGGGCCAACCTTATTATTGCTGAGGTTTTCTGGGCCCATAGGGGCTGAAAATTGCACTTCTTCAAGGTTGTGGTTGAATGTGCAACTTATACTGTTTGTTTGGGGCAGACCGAGGGCTCGCAGTTAATCGGATCGTTCGAGCTCTCTCGGAGATTTCAAGTTGGCAAGCCACTGAGAAGCTCCGCCAGGAAGTTCACGCCACCCATCTCACTCAAGCGCCGAGCGCCCCAAGCCACTGCCATTTTCTCCAGTATCGAGTCGTCCTTGCACATGATCCAAAATGAATCTCCTAAACGTCTTATTAATACTAGGAACAAGTGCATCGCTACTAGTAACAAGTGCCTTACTAGTAGTAACAAGAAGCTAGTAGAAACAAGTGCCTTACTTTAGTAACAATAAGACTTTGGGGATTCCATTGCTGTCCATATTGCCGGCCAGATTCCCAAAGTCGGAAACCAGCCTCGGCTTATTACTGGCACATCTTCCCGCTGACACATTCTTGAAACCAGCTCTCAAGGCGGTGAATTCGATATATTCAGTCTTTTGTCCCAATCATCTCAAACTGAGGTGAAACATCGGAATACTCCCAAGAGAACCGGAGAAAGCGTCTCTTTGGGATCATGGGTTTCAAGACCTGCAAACGAGAAGCATATTGAAGCTGCTGCTTCTCTGCTGGTTGCACCAGGGACCAGGCACCTCCGACAGAAAGTCCAGAATCGTTGGGCGCAGCTGGCACATAAATGCCCTGTCTGCACGGTCAACGGGGAATCCTCAAAAAGGCCTGGGGAGGCCAGCTGTCATAGATACCTGTGTATTGGCTTCACCTGAAAATAAGTAGGCGAACAGCCTGCCCTGATCTACAAGCTGTTGGATGTCAAAGGATGGCCTTATTGGTATCTCTCAGGTGAACTCAGCTCACTTGCACTTTTCGTCTCACAGGGAGGTAGGCTAAAACGGTCCAAGTGACGATCGGATCTTTGGCATTCTCCTCAGTCAGAAGTGGTGACGTATCTCGAGGACCACCAGAACATCAAAACAGTCAAAGCAGCACAAGCACTTGCACTGCAAACTGCCTTGGAAGAATTGTTTGGCTGTGTGTGTGGTTTGACAAATCTGATGCCAAAGGGTCGGAGAGGGTGTCATAGATGACCTGGTTGGCCAATACATTGAGCGCACAGCCACCTGCGGGCGAAAATACAGTAGCTGGAAAGCATGCGTTCGTGTCAGAGAACCTGCATTCTCTCTGACACTATGGTGTTGATCCCTGCTGGACTGCTGAATTGGGAACAACTGCAGTAATTAACTTTACATAGGTTTTGCAATGTTTGTCCAAGTCAGCTCAACCACCTCAAATGCTGCATGACACTTTGAAGAGAATATCAGACTATAGGGGGCATAAGGACAAATTGAGCCTGTAAGTACGAGACCTTCTGGTCGTGGCAGGCCTAAAGGACCTGGGAGCGATACTAACACAGTGAGGTTGACAAAGCACACATGTATCCCGCGGCAATGCGAACATTTATGAGACATTGCGCTTTGGATGTGCCGACTGGCTATCCACCCATTGCAAGTCACATCTAGGAATCTGTTTTGTAGCAGCGCGTCGAATTATATCTTTTCCTCAAGATCTATTCCAAATCCAAGGTTCTGAGCTCCTTCAAAAGGTCCTTCACCAACTCCAACATGTAGGTCTCAAACTGTGCCTCCAAAGAAAGCACTTGAGAGAAGGTGTTTTGAACTTAGGGCCTAGGGTTGGTGACCAAAGCTTGCAGGGCGGGGGTGAAGCGGCTGACAGTCGGCCCACTATGCCAGCGGAAATGCACACGTCCCAGAGATGTCCCAGGGAGGAGTTGAACCCCCGACAAAGGGCCCACCAAAATATGAAGTTTTCACGCGATGCGGCACTCTCAAGGATTCCAGCCCTCACTTGCTAAAGCAAGAACAACTCCAGCTAGTGCTAGCTTTCGTTATAAAAGCAAAAACTGCATAGGATCGTGGCTCTGAAACTCAAGCAGCACTCTCAGATTCTCAGCTATGTTCTGTACACTCTCAAGTGTCTGGCGCGGCCTGAGCGGCAGCAGCCACCGCCCGCTGACCGTTGAGGGATTCGCAGCAGGCCCGCACCAGGCCAACTGGCATCAATTCGCCACCTGCGCCACGAAAAACTGCCCGATTGGTTGGCACGCATGAGGGGTTCATCGCAAAACTGCATGACATCGGAAACTGATGTTTCAGTTCTTAGTGTGTTCCAGTTCCAGGCTGTGTTCCTTGTCTTTGCTTGGTGTGCGTCACAAGTGGCACAAGGTCGTTCAACAATGAATTCTGGATTTCAATGGCAGACACACCTAAAGTATCCTGCAGTTCAATCATCAACTGTCGTCATACCTAAGCATACGAGGCTCTGAAACAAGATGGAGCCCACGAACCCGAATGCAAACACATATGTCAATCCACTGTGTATAGAAAGAGACACAGCCGGTTAGAGTCTCTTTTTCACGCTCCGGCACGCTGTTGGACATCATGACATCATGCGCTGGGGACTCCACCACCAAGGCAGCATGTGCTGGGGACTTCACCACCAAGCTCCGTCTTCGTCATGAAGGGTCTTCGTTTTGCATTCAAAGCAAGCACTGGCGTAAAGGTTCTGGCAGATCCACATCACGAAAGAAACAATGGCATTGTCCCAAAATCTCGAAAAGAAGCCCTTGAAAATGATAACCGTCCACATAATACAGAAAAATCCACAACTGCGGCGTCTGATCTTCTTGTAAATAGGAGTGCAAGACCGTGCGTTGTTGTGTTTCACCTGCGTCAACAAGAAGTATATGAGACACACACAACGGAAGTGAGTAAAACTCTCTTATAGGTCATGTCATTAGTCCAACATTGGCATCGGTCCCGTATGTGTGCGCGCGCTCTTGTGGGACACTCTTGTAGGACACTCTTGTGGGACACTCCTGTAGGACACTCTTGTGGGACACTCTTATAGGACACTCTTGTGGGACACTCTCAAGGGGCACTCTTGTGAGACACTCTTGTGGGACACTGTTGCGGGACACTCTTGTGGGACACTCTGGTCGGACACTCTTACGTGACACTCTGGTAGGACACTCTTGTGGGACACTCTTGTAGGACACTCTTGTGGGACACTC